AGACCCACAGAGATCCATAGAGACCCATACACATAGAGACCCACAGAGATCCAGAAAGCCATATAGACCCACAGAGACCCACAGAGACCCATAGAGACCCATACTCATAGAGACCCACAGAGATCCAGAAAGCCATATAGACCCACAGAGACCCACAGAGACCCAGAAAGCCATATAGACCCACAGAGACCCACAGAGACCCATAGAGACCCATACTCATAGAGACCCACAGAGATCCAGAAAGCCATATAGACCCACAGAGACCCACAGAGATCCAGAAAGCCATATAGACCCACAGAGACCCACAGAGACCCATAGAGACCCATACTCATAGAGACCCACAGAGATCCAGAAGCCATATAGACCCACAGAGACCCACAGAGACCCATAGAGACCCATACTCATAGAGACCCACAGAGATCCAGAAGCCATATAGACCCACAGAGACCCACAGAGACCCACAGAGACCCATACTCATAGAGACCCACAGAGATCCAGAAAGCCATATAGACCCACAGAGACCCACAGAGATCCAGAAAGCCATATAGACCCACAGAGACCCACAGAGACCCACAGAGACCCACAGAGACCCATACTCATGTGTGCGTAATGTGTGTCGTGTGGTGTGTGTGGTGGGTGTGTGGTGTGTGTGGTGTGTGTGTGGTGGGTGTGTGGTGTGTGTGGTGGGTGTGTGGTGTGTGTGTAGTGTGGTGTGTGTGGTGTGTGTGTGGGGTGTGTGTGGTGTTATCACGGCGGCCGGTAATATTGAGACAGGCAAAAGACAAAGCTCCCCCGTGTAGCCTCAACCGACTGTAGGGACAAGTGCTCTTAACGAGTAGCAGCAGCACCTATGAAGGCTACCGGCACTGTGGCACACGAGGGGGTGGGTGACCAACAGCACCACGCCCGGCCGCCTTTGTCTCCCCCAGTGGAGACGCACCAAGATACGCCTGTATAAGCCTAAGTCGACCGAGCCTCCGTTTGACCATACTTCCCCCAGCCGGTCAGCGCGCTCACCGCTGCACCACCGCTCCCCCGCTCTTCACGCACACACGGAGCAATAGGCACGCTCAGCACTTGCCCCCAACAGCCTGTTAGAGGCTACACGGGGGACCTTTGTCTCTGTGTGTTAATAACTGCTGCTGGTGTTGCTACCACTAACAGCACTTGCCCCTACAGTCTGTTAGAGGCTACACGGGGGATCTTTGTCTCTGTGTGTTCATAGCTGCTGCTGGTGCTGCTACCACTAACAGCACTTGCCCCTACAGTCTGTTAGAGGCTACACGGGGGATCTTTGTCTTTGTGTGTTTATAGCTGCTGCTGCTGCTACCACTAACAGCACTTGCCCCTACAGCCTGTTAGAGGCTACACGGGGGATCTTTGTCTTTGTGTGTTCATAGCTGCTGCTGCTGCTACCACTAACAGCACTTGCCCCAACAGCCTGTTAGAGGCTACACGGGGGATCTTTGTCTTTGTGTGTTCATAGCTGCTGCTGGTGCTGCTACCACTAACAGCACTTGCCCCTACAGCCTGTTAGAGGCTACACGGGGGACCTTTATCCTTGAACACTTTTGTGTGCGCCCTCATAGCGGTTATTTGATGTGCGGGGTAGAATTTGCAAGTGAATGGCATCGACTCGAAATGCGGGAACGCATTCGCGAATCTGATGCGAGTGACATTTAGGTGTGTGAGTGTAACGAGTGTGTGCGTGTGTGCGAGTGTGTGAGTGTGTGTGTGCGTCTGGGGGTCGTGCTGGGGTAATGCATGCGAGCGAGAGTGTTTGTGTGTGTGAGAGAGAGTGTGTGAGAGTGTGTGTGAGAGTGTGTGTGTAAGAGTGTGTGTGTGAGAGTGTGTGTGAGGGTGTGTGAGAGTGTGTGTGTGAAAGTGTGTGAGAGTGCGTGTTTGAGAGTGTGTGTGAGAGTGTGTGTGAGAGTGTGTGAGAGTGTGTGTGAGGGTGTGTGTGTGAGAGTGTGTGAGTGAGTATATGAGTGAGTGTGTGAGTGTATGAGTGAGTGAGTGTATGGGTGAGTGTGTGTATGAGTGATTGTATGAGTGAGTGTGTGAGTGAGTGTGCGAGTGAGTGTATGAGTGTATGAGTGATTATATAAGTGCGTGTGTGAGAGTGTCTGTGTGAGTGTAACGAGTGTGTGAGTGTGTGCGAGAGTGCGCGTGTGTGTGTGCGTCTGGGGGTCGTGCTGGGGTAATGCATGCGAGCGAGAGTGTTTGTGTGTGTGAGAGTGTGTGTGTGAGTGTGTGTGTGAGAGTGTGTGTGAGAGTGTGTGTGTGTGCGAGTGTGTGTGAGAGAGTCTGTGTGAGTGTGTGAGTGAGTATGTGTGCTTGCGAGTGTCTGTGTGTGTGTGAGAGTGTGTGAGAGTGTGTGTGTGAGTGTATGTGTGAGAGTGTGTGAGAGTGTGTGTGTGAGTGTATGTGTGAGAGTGTGTGAGAGTGTGTGTGTGAGTGTATGTGTGAGAGTGTGTGTGAATGTGTGCAAATGTGTGCGTGTGTGTGAGAGAGAGTGTGTGTGTGTGAGAGTGTGTCTGTGTGTGTGTGCGTGTGTGTGAGAGAGAGTGTGTGTGAGAGTATGTCTGTGTGTATGGTGGTCGAACAGGGGTAATGCATGCGAGAGAGTGTGTGTGTGAATGTGTGTGAGAGTGTGCGTGCGAATGTGTGTGTGCGTGTTAGAGTGTATGTGTGCGTGTGAGAGTGTGTGTGTGAGTGTGCGTGCGAATGTGTGTGTGCGTGTGTTCTTCGTGCTTTAGGAGTCCCTGACCCGCTGCTCATGATCATTAACCATGTAGCCAGGAGTCGGAGCCATTCCCTGTTCACCTTGGGGTGCGACAGGGATGTCCTCTGGCTGCCACATCATTTAACATCTATTTCGACCACGGAGTTCGTGAAGCCTGCAATAGCTGTACCGGAGGAATTTCCATCTGGTACAGATACAATGGGAGGCTGATCGATGCCCGGGTGCGGTCAAGGGATGGCTCCCTATTGCTCAACCACGTTATGTATGCCGATGATTTGGTAATAGCTGCTCATTCAGAGGAGGAGTTGGAAGAGCTGCTGCTGAGACTGGAGAGTGCCACTGAGAGATGGGGCCTAACCATCAGCCCCACCAAAACTAAGCACCTGCCTGGGTATTTTGTACCATCGGACACTCCACCACCACAACTCCCAATCGGTGATGGGGAAGTTGTGGAGAGAGTGGAGAGTTTCCCATACCTGGGCAGTGTGCTCATGACCGGCTCCGGTTTAAGAGCAGAGGTCTCACTCCAAATCAGTCGAGCGGCATTATCTTTTCATCGGTTGCGTAACGCTGTGTGGAAGCTACCTGGTCTGTCGCTCCGCACTAAGCTTCAGGTCTTCTCGGCCACGGTCATTCCCTCCATTCTCTACGCTTGCGAAACTTGGACCCCCCTAATGGAACATCTTCGCCGGTTAGAAACATTTAGGCTGGCCTGCCTACGATCCATCTTGGGTTTAACCAGGCTGGATTGTGTGAGGAGCTCACATATCCTTGAAAGATCTGGACAAAGTCCCATCGGTGAGCTCCTCCGGCAGGCAAAGCTGCGTTGGCTGGGCCATGTAGCCCGCATGCCCAGCCACCGCATGCCGAAACAGCTTTTGTTCGGCCGGATCGAGGGGGCTAAACGGGCACGGCACGGGCTAGAGAAGAGATGGAGTGATGTGGTACCGGAGGACGTGGAGCTGAGTGGACTTTCCGATGACTGGTACCAGCGGTGTCAAGATCGGCCTCTGTGAAGGAGGCTCGTGAAGGATGCTACTGGGCAGTTGGAGGCAGTCGCCCTCCAACAACAACAGAGGGTGGAGAAGCGACGCTCACAACAACGAGCGGAGCGCCGGGTGGCTAAAGCACAGCACGTTGGCACAGTAGGGGGCACAGGTGGTGCATCAGCCAGTCATCTCAGTCAGTCGACCCGTGGCACCTGCTGGGTCTGCCCCGTGACCTCCTGCCAGCGGGCGTTCGACACTTCACGTGGCCTCAAGGTGCACATAGCCTGGCACAAGCGTCGTGGTGACGTCACCGCCACTTAGTGACGAATGGCGGATGTTGTTGTTGTTGTGTGAGAGTGTGGGGGTCGTGCTGGGGTAATGCATGCGAGCGGGTGTGAGTGTGTGTGAGTGTGCGTGTGAGTGTCTGTGTGCGTACGAGTGTGAGTGTGTGTGGGGGTGCGAGTGTGTGAGTGTGTGTGGTGGTCGTGTATTCTATAGTGTAGTGTATAGTGTAGTGTATAGTGTAGTGTATCGTGCTTGGTATAGTGTAATGTATAGTGTTTGGTATAGTGTAGTATATAGTGTAGTGTATAGTGTAGTGTGCAGTGTAGTGTATAGTGTAGTGTATAGTGTAGTGTGTGGTGTAGTGTATAGTGTAGTGTATAGTGTTTGGTATAGTGTAGTGTAGTGTTTGGTATAGTGTGGTGTATAGTATAGTGTAGTGTATAGTGTAGTGTATAGTGTAGTGTATAGTGTATTGTATTGTGTAGTGTTAGTAGTGTAGTGTATAGTGTAATGTATAGTGTAGTATATAGTGTAGTATATAGTGTAGTGTATAGTGTAGTGTGTAGTGTATAGTGTAGTGTGTAGTGTAGTGTGTAGTGTAGTGTATAGTGTAGTGTATAGTGTAGTGTATAGTGAAGTATATAGTGTAGTGTACAGTGTAGTGTATAGCGTAGTCTACAGTGTACTGTATAGTGTAGTATATAGTGCACGTGCAGCGAGGAGCAACTGCTTAGCGGTGATTGGTCAGCGCGTAGACGCAGTGGCACTGCCTAGCGGTGATTGGTCAGCGCGTAGACGCAGTGGCACTGCCTAGCGGTGATTGGTCAGCGCGTAGACGCAGTGGCACGTGCAGCTAGTAGCAACTGGTGGTCCGTGGGCATGGCCCGATGCGGTGGGTGGGTGGTTAGGTAGGGGGTAGTGGGGGGTAGTGGTGGGGGGTAGTGGGGGTGGTGGGGGGGTAGCGGTGTGCGGGCGCTAACCTGTACAGGCGGTGCGCATGATGGAGGAAATGATGCCATCTGTCCACTCGCTGCTGTTGAGGTCAAACTCCCCGTAGAGTTCACCAAGGGTCAAGGCTTTCGGGTTGAGGGCGAACTCCTGTGGGGGAGTGGCGTGGGGGGACGGGGGGGTGAGGGGAAGGGTGAGTTGGTCGGTGGGTGTGTGAGTGTGTAAGTGAGTGTGTGGGTGGGTGGGTGGTTGAGTGGGTGAGTGGGTGAGTGAGTGGGTGAGTGAGTGGGTGAGTGAGTGGGTGAGTGAGTGGGTGAGTGAGTGGGTAAGTGAGTGGGTGAGTGAGTGGGTGAGTGGGTGTGTGAGTGGGTGAGTGAGTGCGTGAGTGGGTGAGTGAGTGGGTGAGTGGGTGTGTGAGTGGGTAAGTGAGTGGGTGAGTGGGTAACTGGGTGGGTGGGTGAGTGGGTGAGTGGGTGAGTGAGTGAGTGAGTGAATGGGTGAGTGGGTGAGTGAGTGGGTGAGTGGGTGAGTGAGTGGGTGAGTAAGTGGGTAAGTGGGTGAGTGAGTAAGTGGGTGAGTGGGTGGGTGGGTGGGTGAGTGGGTGGGTGAGTGAGTAAGTGTGTAAGTAGGTGAGTGTGTGAGTGAGTGTGTGAGTGGGTGGGTGGATGGTTGGGTGGGTGAGTGAGTGAGTAAGTGGGTGAGTGGGTGAGTGAATGCGTGAGTGGGTGAGTGGGTGAGTGAGTGGGTGAATGGGTGAGTGAGTGGGTGAGTGGGTGTGTGAGTGAGTGAGTGTGTGAGTGAGCCGGAGATGGCTTCTGGTTTTGCGGAACGATCAAAACATGGAGCGGTTGTTGTTGCTCCCCGCCCTCGCCACCCTCACCACCTTCGCCACCCTCGCCCCCTCCGTGCGTGTGTAGGTAGGTAGTGAGGGTGCGCGTTGGTAGGTGGGAGAGCGGGCACGGTACGGTATTTGCACGGGCCAATCCGTGCCGCGTACGGGACATCACGTTACGCAGCGTCTCGTGATGACAACATAAACAACAACAACAACAATGAACGAACAGGCGGGGAATGAAAGAAAGAATTAAATGAATTGTAAGTTGAACGCCCTGCAGGGGGAGACCTGATCATCCACGATGTAGGTTGTGCTGCTGTTGTTGTTGTTGTTGTGAGTGAGGTTTCGTGTCACGTGACCAGAACGTGGCCGATTCGTTCCTAAGCACAGCGACCTACGCCGCTTGTGTGCTGGAGGGAGGAGTGAGAGAGAGGGGGTGAGTGAGAGAGAGAGAGGGGGTGAGTGAGAGAGAGGGGATGAGTGAGTGAGAGAGGGGGTGAGTGAAAGAGAAGGGATGAGTGAGTGAGAGAGAGGGTGAGTGAGAGAAAGAGAGGGTGAGTGAGAGAGGGGGTGAGTAAGAGAGAGAGGGTGAGTGAGAGAGAGGAGGTGAGTGAGAGAGAGGAGGTGAGTGAGTGAGAGAGAGGGCGTGAGTGAGAGAGAGAGGGGGTGAGTGAGAGAGAGAGGGTGGGTGAGAGAGAGGGTGAGTGAGAGAGAGGGGGTGAGGGAGAGAGAGGGGGTGAGTGAGAGAGAGGGGGTGAGTGAGAGAGAGAGAGGAGATGAGTGAGAGAGAGGGGGTGAGTGAGAGAGAGGGGGTGAGTGAGAGAGAGAGAAGGTGAGTGAGAGAGAGGGGGTGAGTGAGAGAGGAGGGGGTGAGTGAGAGAGAGGGTGATTGAGTGAGTGAGAGGGTGAGTGAGAGAGGAGTGATTGAGTGAGTAAGAGGGTGAGAGAGAGAGAGGGTGATTGAGTGAGTGAGAGGGTGAGTGAGAGAGGAGTGATTGAGTGAGTGAGAAGGTGAGAGAGTGATTGAGTGAGTGAGAGGGTGAGTGAGAGGGTGAGAGAGAGAGAGTAAGTGAGAGAGAATGATTGAGTGAGTGAGAGAGGAGTGATTGAGTGAGTGAGAGGGTGAGAGAGAGAGAAGTGAGAGAGAGAGGTGAGGAAGAGAGAGAGTGATTGAGTGAGTGAGAGGGTGAGTGAGAGAGGAGTGATTGAGTGAGTAAGAGAGGAGTGAGGGAGTGAGAGGGTGAGAGAGAGTGAGTGAGTGAGAGGGTGAGTGAGTGAGTGAGAGGGTGAGTGAGTGATTGAGTGAGAGAGAGTGATTGAGTGAGAGAGAGTGATTGAGTGAGTGAGAGGGTGAGTGAGTGAGAGGGTGAGTGAGTGAGTGAGAGGGTGAGTGAGTGATTGAGTGAGAGAGAGTGATTGAGTGAGAGAGAGTGATTGAGTGAGTGAGAGGGTGAGTGAGTGAGTGAGAGGGTGAGTGAGTGAGTGAGAGGGTGAGTGAGTGAAAGGGTGAGTGAGAGAGAGAGTGCGTGAGAGGGTGAGTGAGAGGGTGAGAGAGGGTGATTGAGTGAGTGAGAGGGTGAGTGAGAGAGGAGTGATTGAGTGAGTGAGAGGGTGAGAGAGTGATTGAGTGAGTGAGAGGGTGAGTGAGAGGGTGAGAGAGAGAGAGTAAGTGAGAGAGAATGATTGAGTGAGTGAGACAGAATGATTGAGTGAGTGAGAGAGGAGTGATTGAGTGAGTGAGAGGGTGAGAGAGAGAGAAGTGAGAGAGAGAGGTGAGGAAGAGAGAGGGTGATTGAGTGAGTGAGGGGGTGAGTGAGAGAGGAGTGATTGAGTGAGTGAGAGAGGAGTGAGAGAGTGAGAGGGTGAGAGAGAGTGAGTGAGTGAGAGGGTGAGTGAGTGAGTGAGAGGGTGAGTGAGTGATTGAGTGAGAGAGAGTGATTGAGTGAGAGAGAGTGATTGAGTGAGTGAGAGGGTGAGAGGGTGAGAGAGAGAGTGAGTGAGAGGGTGAGTGAGTGAGTGAGAGGGTGAGTGAGTGATTGAGTGAGAGAGAGTGAGTAAGAGAGTGAGTGAGAGAGTGAGTGAGAGGGTGAGTGAGAGAGAGTGAGTGATTGAGTGATTGAGTGAGTGAGAGAGTGAGTGAGAGGGTGAGTGAGAGAGTGATTGAGTGAGTGAGAGAGAGTGATTGAGTGAGTGAGAGGGTGAGTGAGTGAGTGAGAGGGTGAGTGAGTGAGTGAGAGGGTGAGTGAGTGAGTGAAAGGGTGAGTGAGAGAGGAGTGAGTGAGAGGGTGAGTGAGTGAGAGGGTGAGTGAGTGAGAGGGTGAGTGAGTGAGAGAGTGAGTGAGTGAGAGGGTGAGTGAGTGAGTGAGAGGGTGAGTGATTGAGTGAGTGAGAGGGTGAGTGAGTGAGTGAGAGGGTGAGTGAGTGAGTGAGAGGGTGAGTGAGTGAGTGAGTGAAAGGGTGAGTGAGAGAGGAGTGAGTGAGAGGGTGAGTGAGTGAGTGAGAGGGTGAGTGAGTGAGAGGGTGAGTGAGTGAGAGGGTGAGTGAGTGAGAGGGCGAGTGAGTGAGAGGGTGAGTGAGTGAGTGAGAGGGTGAGTGATTGAGTGAGTGAGAGGGTGAGTGAGTGAGTGAGAGGGTGAGTGAGTGAGTGAGTGGGTGAGTGAGTGAGTGAGAGGGTGAGTGAGTGAGTGAGTGAAAGGGTGAGTGAGAGCGAGAGTGAGTGAGAGGGTGAGTGAGTGAGTGAGAGGGTGAGTGAGTGAGTGAGAGGGTGAGTGAGTGAGAGGGTGAGTGAGTGAGAGGGTGAGTGAGTGAGAGGGTGAGTGAGTGAGAGAGTGAGTGAGTGAGAGGGCGAGTGAGTGAGAGGGTGAGTGAGTGAGTGAGTGAGAGGGTGAGTGATTGAGTAAGTGAGAGGGTGAGTGAGAGAGTGAGTGAGTGAGAGAGAGGGTGAGTGAGAGAGTGAGTGAGTGAGAGAGAGAGTGAGTGAAAGGGTGAGTGAGAGAGTGAGTGAGTGAGTGAGAGGGTGAGTGAGAGGGTGAGTGAGTGAGTGAGAGGGTGAGTGAGTGAGTGAGAGGGTGAGTGAGTGAGTGAGAGGGTGAGTGAGTGAGTGAGTGAAAGGGTGAGTGAGAGCGAGAGTGAGTGAGAGGGTGAGTGAGTGAGTGAGAGGGTGAGTGAGTGAGTGAGAGGGTGAGTGAGTGAGAGGGTGAGTGAGTGAGAGGGTGAGTGAGTGAGAGGGTGAGTGAGTGAGAGAGTGAGTGAGTGAGAGGGCGAGTGAGTGAGAGGGTGAGTGAGTGAGTGAGAGGGTGAGTGATTGAGTAAGTGAGAGGGTGAGTGAGAGAGTGAGTGAGTGAGAGAGAGGGTGAGTGAGAGAGTGAGTGAGTGAGAGAGAGAGTGAGTGAAAGGGTGAGTGAGAGAGTGAGTGAGTGAGTGAGAGGGTGAGTGAGAGAGTGAGCGAGAAGTGAGTGAGAGGGTGAGTGAGAGAGTGAGAGGGTGAGTGAGAGAGTGATTGAGTGAGAGAGGAGTGAGTGAGAGGGTGAGTGAGTGAGAGGGTGAGTGAGTGAGAGGGCGAGTGAGTGAGAGGGTGAGTGAGTGAGTGAGAGGGTGAGTGATTGAGTAAGTGAGAGGGTGAGTGAGAGAGGAGTGAGTGAGAGGGTGAGTGAGAGAGAGAGAAGTGAGCTTCTGAGTTATTAATGAGGCAGCGCGTTCGGCCCATCACCTTCCCCGGGGCACGCGCTGGGGGGGGGGGGCACTCCCCCCCACCCCCCACTCCCCCCACCCCCACCCCCCACCCAGCCCGCTAGGAATCCTCCAGGTCGCAGATTTTGGCTGGCACGGCAGAGGTGGGGAGGGGGGGGGGCAAGAGGGGGGGGGCAAGGGGGGGCAAGAGGGGGGGTTAGAGGGGGGGGTTAGAGGGTCAGCGTGCCACGTGACACCTCGCGATGACTCCACTCTGGATGTAGTAGAGGAGGACGCGCCGGGAGACGGCCCGCAAAGGTGCGGAGAGGGGAGGGGGAGACACGGGGGGAGACACGGGGGGAGAGACGGGGAGAGACACGGGGAGAGACACGGGGAGAGACACTGGGGGAGACACGGGGGGAGACACGGGGGGAGACAGGGGGGAGACACGGGGGGAGAGACGGGGGAGACACGGGGGGAGACACGGGGGGAGACACGGGGAGAGACACGGGTAGAGACACGGGGAGAGACACGGGGAGAGACACGGGGAGAGACACGGGTAGAGACACGGGGAGAGACACGGGGAGAGACACGGGGAGAGACACGGGGAGAGACACGGGGGGAGAGACGGGGGAGACACGGGGAG